CTTTTGTTTTTCTATCCACTATCCACCTCACTCATGCTTTTTTTCATTCTTTCACCCAATGTGGGATGCAAACAATGATGTAAGAAACTAAGAATATATACTATATTTGATCTTAAACAAAAGGCCAAGATCTGGGAAATGTATGTTAAACTAAATAAAACATATACTATCCTTGATCTTAATCCAAAGGTCGAGGTTCGAAAAAGATATGTTTGTTCCATTATTAGCCGTTTCTTTTTGTAATTACCTCCATATTGCCACTTTCATTTCATTATTCGATGTAGTATGCAAACAATATTGAGAAAAAGTTGGCTCTTTCCTTTTTGTATCGACCTCCCTCGTTGCCTCAATGCCTCTTTCATTCTTTCATCAAATATGTAATGCAAACAATATTGTGAGAAAAATAAATAAATATAATTTCATTCTCCATGATTGTTGCTTGTATATACAAAGACAGATTTTGTATTAAAATAGTCAATTGATTTAAATAACATATAATTAAAAATGTATTTTTCATAAATTAAATACGTATTTAGAAGCAACAACAATGGAGAGAAGACAAAGTTGCAGATTACAACAAAAAATACCAAAAACTTCAAGAATATAAAAGAAACTATTGTAACATTACTAGAAAATGATATACTTCAAACAGTGTATGAAAATCTATGAACGTGTTTCAACATTCAACATTAAGAAGGATTTTGAATGCATTTTTTGAAATTGAACATATATGAAGGTTTTATTATGAGGATCATAATTTTCATTATAAAACTTAATATAAAAAGAAAACGGTTGAAGTTATTGAAGAAATTGAAAGTTGTTGAAGGTAAATGAAGCAAAATGAAATAGTTTATATAAGGAGTTAGTTGTTCCTTGAATCTAATTTGATGCAATTGTAGGTTAAAAAAATTGAATGTTCTGGGGGTAATTGAAGCAAAAGTAAGTAAATTATATAAGAAGATGACAACATACATCCATGCACACATTGCAATGCACATAGTACTCTGTAATTGTAGTTTGGTCACCGGAGTGGGAGGAGGAGCAAGGTGATGATTGGTGTCGAGAAGTGAAGTCTGAGTGGTGGTGGAATTGTGGTGTTTGCCAAAGGGAGGAGGGTTAGTAATGGTTTTGTTCGTCAAAGTGGAGGGGAGAACGAAATGGTAATTGTGATGGTTTGATCCTTGTTCATATATGTATGTAATATGTAAGGAGTCTTCTTTTGGGAACTCTATAATTCATGAGATCCAATTTGTACCATAAAATTATTTTAAAAAATAAATCTAAAGTAAAATACGATTTTTATCCCTGTGGTTTATAGTTTATAATTGTTTCCATCCCTCGTCTTTAAAAATTGCTTTCTTTATCCTTATGGTTTCTATTTTGTTTCCTTTTTCATCTTTAAGCTAATCTTCGTTACAAAAGATCCATTAAGTAAGGATAATTTTGTCTATTTACATTTTAATTTATTTTTATTAAAAATTTAAAAATATAATATGTATATCAAGTATCAAACATGTATCTATATCCACATTAGAGATGAAAACCCTAAAGTAACCCCCCAGCTTGCCTCCTCACCTTCTTTCTTCCATCTCCGGTGAGCATCACCACCACCTCCAACGGCCTGCAACCAATCAATCTATGTCATCTTCTACTGCCACCAATGCCAGCACCTTCCCCGGGTTTTCCCCACTTGACCCGTATTCCTCCTCCCACTGCTCTGACCCCAAAATTGCACCACTATGATCTCGATGTTCAACCGTTTTTTTGATTTTGTGTTTGGTTTTTGTTGTCAATGTTCAATCCTCCCATTACTCTATCCAGTGACGGATGCAGAAAAATATATTGTAGGGGGCATGATATAAGATGAAATATTTCGAAATCTTTTTCCTATCGGCTGGATCCCAAGGAAGATCATTCAAATCAATTTCGTAAGGCATCAAAGGAGCAGAGCTTGATTCAGGTATTGATGTTTTCCTTTTAAAAAATCTTTCCATTTTTTCTAGCAATAGTAAGAACAAGATAAAAATCAATGGTTTATCTTTAACAATAGTATCATTTCCATTTGCCTACGAAATTGCAAAATTAACCTAACATTTCCTGTTGATCCCAAATCTCTCAATAACACTAATAATTAAGTTAAGAATAACCTAATTATATAGTTTAGATGAATAAAATGATGAACACTCAAGAACAAATGATAAACATTCAAAGAATATACTTGAGTGTCAAAAGATTCACTTTATTTCAATAATAGTGAAAAACGTTAAAAGATACAATAGGCCTAACCACCTATTTATACTAGTAATCTAGACAATAAGATAACTATCTAATGAATCTATCTAGAAAATCTTCTAGGGAAAGATAAAGCTTATCTAAACATGGATAATCAACAAAACAAGATAAACTTTGTAGAATCTAGCTGTTGATTTGTCATCTCCAGCTGTCTTCCATGAGGCGTTATTTCAACCTTATCTTCATGTCTTCATCGCATGCCTCTGGTTGAACTAGTGTAGAAAAGGGAGGGAGTAGCCAAGCAGTAGCTATAACGATGTGCAAGAAGGCGAAAGCAGGAACCAGGAAAAAGCAGCGGCGATGTAGGAGTGAGCAGCGGAACCGGGTACCCACTTCTAGAACCGGAACTGCCTTGGAACTGCCGATTCTGGAACCGGAACCGATATGAGTGGTTCCGGTTCCGGTTCCGAAAATACGGAACCGATTGAGAATGGTTCTGGTTCTCAATTTTTCGGAACCGTTACCCGTCGGGATCGGGTACCCGGAACCGACGAGTACCCTGAACCGGAACCGGCGGGTACCCGGTATTTTTCAATCAAAAAAATAATTAATTTTTTAATACTAAGTTTAAATTAGGTCAAGAACTTAGAACTCTAGATTAGATTTTTGGTCCCGCCTCATCGACTCATACTCTCAGGCTTGAGGCTTCTCACGGACCGTCTTCATCGACTCATAATCGTTAAACTTTGAACATTTACAATTATAGTATGTAATCGTTAAATTTTCAACATTTATTATTAGTCTATTATGGTTTGTAATCGTTAAACAATATTTGTAACCATTATTCCGTATAATTTGTATTTTTGTTTATTTATTTAGTGTTTTGGCAATGTTTTAATTTTTATTTCTAAATAACAAAATTTTAATATTTTAGGATGCAGGTACCCGGAACCGATTCCCGGCGGTTCCGGTTCTGATTTCAAAAATTCAAGAACCGCTCTAACCGGTTCCGGTTCCACTTCCGGTTCCTGTCAAATAGGGCAGGTACCCACCTATGCTCACCCCCACAGCCAGGCGCCAGCAGCCATGGAACTTGGATGAAGGTGAAGTCGTGGCCTTATGGGATGGACTGGTGAAGCTTGGAAATGAAAGGCTAAATGAATTATGGACTTGGTAGTAGGGACTCGTGATTATTTTATTGCGGGCCCAATCATATAAAGGCAAAAATTATAATTAAAATAAAAATTTATGGGCTTTCTAGACTTTATTTTGTTGGGGGCCCAGGACCCCAACCCCTTCTACATGCATCCGCCACTTACTTTATCTCCCACCCTGATAAACTAACAAACTACTCTTAGTTTTTACACTTCCATGTTCTTTTTACAGAGTGCAAATCACAAATGTTAAAATTCTGGGTTTTTTTAATTTGTAGGGACGATGGTATAATGTGCTGGTCATGTTCCTGATGTAGGGTTTGGCACTGATGATGGTAGGAGAAGGTTTCCTGATGATTACAATGGTGCAACTAGGTCAAGATGATTGAGAACAAACCAAACTCTTTGTAGGCATCAATACCCCTAAGTTAGTATAGGATTTTAAGCTTTTTCTCTATATACTTTTTTAATTGTTCTTTACAGAAATTAAAATGCCCAAATTTCTGAATCGAATGTTCCTTAATTTATTTATTTTTGAATGTTTTTTATTTGTGATTTGTTTGTTTTTTTCTTGAATTCGACTTACAACCTCAAGATTGAAGTGAACAAAATGTATTCATCTCATATTCTTAATTTTTTGGTTGAATGCTCTTAATTTGTGGTTTGTTTGGTTTCTCGAATTTCACCTATGACTTCAAGATTGAATTGAAAAAAATTCACTAATCTTGCATTCTATTCAACAAGAACAGTCCTAACCCCTAGGGTTGTGGTAGGGAGTAGGGTCCGTCTTAATCTTTTAATGGAATAACACACATGGATCTTGTAATTATCTGGCAGAGTTATAAAATTTAAATAGAAAATCAAATGAAAATCCTCTTCAGTTAACTGACTTTTTAACAGAGTTAGCTTTAGGGACAAAAAGAGAAAGCCATAATAACAAAAAAGAAAAAACAGTTTATAAAGACTAGAGATGAAAATAATTACAATCAACAACAAACTATTGAAATGAAAATCGTAGTTTACTCTTAAAGCTAATATAATTTAGAAAACTCTCTCTATCCCTCCTCTCTATGTAACATAGACACATACACTAACACACACGCACTTAAATGTGACAAATCTATAATTTACTCTAATAAAAATAAGAAGGTTTTTGGGATTGCTTATAAAAACAGATTATTAACTTATTTTTGTGTGATACCGTTAATAAGCATTTTTGAGTGTTTGGATAAACAGTTTATACCGGTGCCAAACTGGTACTAAGAAGTTTTTGAAGAAGTTAAACCATTCTAAGGGGTGTTTGGGATTTGTTTATTTGAAACAACTTATGCTTTTCTACAAAAGTTTTTATCAACTTATTATAAGTTAGAATGATTTAACTTTTTAAAAAACTCTTTATTACCGATATATGTTATTTATCTAAACACTCAAAAGTATTTATTACCAGTATTGCACCGAAAATAAATCAATAAATTATTTTTAAAGGAATCTCAAACACCCCTAACTTATAATAAAATAATAAGGAATTAGGTAGAAAAGCAATCCCAAATACCCCTAAATATTTTATAAAAGAAGTATGTACTCTAGAAAGATGGTTCCCTTGAGAGTAAAGAAAAGTGAGACAACACCGCCTTCTTCCTCCATCTTGCCTTTTCTCAGACAATTTACACACACGTTGCCTATTCATTCAATCAATACCCAGATCCACTTTCCCCATCTACAGATTTCAAGAAATCTTCCGCCATGGATCTACCTCCAGATGAGCTCCAATTCCTCACTGTTTCAGATATTCTCAAAGAATCAATCGCCATCCCCAAACAATCTCCTCAAACTTTCTACCTGATTACCCTAACCCTAATCTTCCCTCTATCCTTCGCCATTTTAGCCCATTCTCTCTTTACTCATCCTTTAATCTCCCAAATCCAAGACCCATATGGATCTCACACCTCTCAATGGACTAAACTTCTCATCTTTCAATTTTGTTATCTCATTTTCCTCTTTGTTTTCTCCCTCCTCTCCACCGCCGCCGTCGTCTTCACCGTCGCCTCCATGTACACCTCCAAATCCGTCTCTTTCTCCTCCACCATCTCCGCCATCCCCTCCGTCTTCAAACGCCTCTTTATCACCTTCCTGTGGGTAGCTCTCACCATGGTCGTTTACAACATCGTCTTTCTTGGGTTTATTGTCCTTTTGATCATCGCAATCGACACCCAGAACTTGGTTTTGTTCTTCTTCTCTTTAATCGTCGTCTTCCTCTTGTTCCTTGTTGTGCATGTTTACATCACTGCCCTCTGGCACTTAGCCAGTGTGATTTCGGTTCTTGAACCTGTATATGGCTTCGCCGCCATGAAAAAAAGCTTCGAGATCCTCAAAGGAAGAGCTCGAATGGCATCTGTTCTTGTTTTTGGGTATTTCGTCATTTGTGGTGCTCTGAATGGCTTATTTGGATCCATTGTTGTTCATGGTGGGGAGTATTACTATGGGGTTTTCTCAAGAATCGTTGTTGGTGGATTCTTGGTTGGTGTTCTTGTGATTGTAAACTTGGTGGGATTATTGGTTCAGAGTGTGTTTTATTATGTCTGCAAAAGCTATCATCATCAAGGGATTGATAAGAATGCTTTATATGATCATCTTGGTGGATATCTTGGTGAATATGTGCCTCTAAAAAGCAGCATTCAGATGGAGAATTTGGACTAATTTTCACTGATAAATACCACGGTGAGATACTCCTTATGTTTGTTTGTACTTCTTGTGTATCAAGATCCAAAAAAGGAAAAATGGAGTCTTTAATTTGTAAATTTGGGATATTTTTGTTATGAGTATGAATTTTCTGTTCCAATTTTTAGAATCTTCATCTTCATTTGTTGGAATAATGGATTATATCTTGTTCTCTGTCCAATTCAAGGATGCAAATAGCAGTGTGTTTTCTTGATGTAAAAAACCTCTTATATTCATGTGTATAGAGCTAAAATGATTGTGAAATGCATTTCAATATGTTAGTTGTTAGGTTCTTTATTCATAATGAATGGATTAGGACTCTGCATCTTCTAGGATGTTGAAAGGTCCGAGTCTTTTTGCAGGGGTCGGTCTTATGTCGATAACTGGTCTGTTTCTTTTGATTTGCCACTTGAATCTTGTCGTTATTATGTCGAATGAACAATAGAGATCTTGAGGAATTAGGTTTAGGATACGCTCAATGCTTTTCTTGTGTTTTCGTTTTTGCTTGAAAGATAATGTAGGATCCCACATCTGTTGGTAGGGGAACTATGGTTGGGACAGGATACCTCAGTTACTAGACGCCTTTTAAAACCATGAGTTCAGGTGTGTGGATAAAGCGAACAATATCTGGTACTGTTAGCCTGAGATCTTATAGATAGGAGTGGCATTTGGGTGTTGGTTTAGCTCAACTCTTAAAATCTTGGATATTGATGGTGGATATAGCTGAATTGGTAAAATCTTGGGTATTGACATGATTTCGGTCAAGTGGTAAAGTCTTGGAAATAGTTTAACTCGTAAAATCTTGGGTATGATGGGTATAATTCAATTCATAAAATCTTAGGATTATACCCCAAAGACGGATATGGTGGCTCAACCGGTAAAATCATACCAAGACGGATATGGTGGCTCAACGGGTAAAATCTTGGGTATGACGAGTACGGTGGCACATTGTTTAAGTAATCACTAGAGATGTACTCCTCCCTCTTTTAGTTTTGTGCATGTGTACTATAATACCCATCATGCAAACGACCAAGGGTCGGCCTAGGTAAGTCGAATAGTAAGTTATTCAAACTTGACTCTGAAAAGTTAATACCAGGCTTGAGCTCGACTTAAGCTCGAATAACTTTTTCAAAGTAAGGCTCGAGCTCCCGATGCTTGTTTAGGGATTTGAATTCGTGATCGATTAACTTGTTTATTGGCTTGAGCTCGATAATTTTTGTATTTTTATTGTATAGTTAATGAACGTACGAGCATTTTTTGCTTGAAAAAGTGTGTATGCTTGATGGTTCGACTCGACTCCCAAAATTTCATGAAGTTTTTGAACGAGCCGTGTCGAACATCTGTGTTATGTGGCTCGTTAAGTTAAACGAGTTTTATTTTGTTTTTGAGATCAACTTGAGCTCGAGAATTAATTAGTTTGAGCTTGAGTAGCTCGTTAAAAGCTCGAATCGTATACACTCCTAGTCCTAGGTTCAGCCCAATTACACATAGAATTGCTCTCTAGTTCTAAAGGTCCCGGTTAATACGACTGATTATAGACTGAATACGACCGGTAATGGCTATATTTAACGAAGCAAGAAAATTCGATACTTTTTGTGAATTCAAAACAAATATGTTGTCATATTTTGTACCTCATGCAATATAAGTTGTACAATAATGTGTCGGTTTGTGTATTGAGGGTGTGTTTGGTATTTAAACGGGACTGAAGAGGACAGTCAAGGGTGAGGTAGGTAGGCATGTGAAAGAATTTTGGCAGGTTTTATTTTGACATGGGTGGTTTAGTAATTTATCAATGTTGTCTGTCATCTCTCATTTTGTTCCAACCAAAAGAAAATTTACGATTTTGTCCCATCCAATCATGACCTTGTCTACTGTTCCATCAAACATGAGACAAAGTCTTGTCCATTATAACAAAAAACTCTATTCTTGATTTCATAACAAGGATATCACATACATTAAATGTTGTACACTGGTACATGTATATATCATTGATTAAAGTTGTATAAATATGGACTTGCTATATTTAGAACAATAATAATACATAACACCCTAAGGGCGGTTTGGAATTTTGGTATGAAGTGATCAGATAGCGATATAGTATTAACTGGTTGGATTATGATGGCCTAAACTGTATAAAAGAACTACATACATATACTGCTTTCAACAAAAAGCTATATGTATTGCTATTCGTAATTCAATAAAGAGTCGTATTATTATCCATAGTTCAACAAAAAGTCTCTATACGTGATAATTATTTAGTATTTGTATACATTAATGTACCTGGTAAATGTAAATGTCGTTACTCTCACTTACGGTGTAAGACTCTTGATCCTTACAATCACTCTTACGGGTAAGATTTTTGATATTTGTCATGGATAAAGTGATGTGACTTGATAAGCACTTACTAGGTAAGGGTAAGCGTCTGTCAACACTTCACTAATATGACTAGAAAGAGATTTGAACAATGCTTTCTACAGTCAATGATGATTTTTATGTATAGGGACGGGTTTTTACTAACCCTTTTGAGATCGGTGTTGGGACTGGAATCGGTTATTTTAGTGGGAAAAGAAAGAACCGAAGATTATGAAAAGCATTTAATTAATGTGTTTATGCAAGAATTGTAACATTTCTTTTTCTCCTTTTATACAAAATTAGTTAAATTCTAATCATTATTGCTAATAATATGGTATATATTTTTAAATGAGATTTTAATTAAATTCTTGATTTTTTCATAAATGTAGAATCATTTTTTCTTTAATAGATAAGGATGTCATGAATTTAATTAAAATGTCATATAGAAATTTATAGTACATACCTAAATGACTGGAATTGATCATATTGATTCAGATTCACATAATTTAGTTCTTTTGCTATTCTTTTACCATCAAAGATTTTTATTAAATCGTCAAAAAATGTTTCAATTTCCGTGGGGTAACTTGTTGATACTTTTGTCACATCAACGAGCGTATTTGTTTATTGGAAATATCAATTAAAGTTGAACTTATGTACACTTGTTCACTTCAACAAAATCGAGCTTATTGGACGTAAAAAATGTCCAACTGTCCTAATAGACTGTTTTATAATACCTAAATTTATGTGACCAAATTGTTTGTCGTATGTGATATTGTTGCAATAAGTTTAAAAAACGCTTTTGAACGTCTTTACAAGTTTTTAAAGCACTTTTTAAATAAAACATTATACTAGTGTTTTTATATGACATTATATGAAAAATGTCTTATAATACCAAGTTTTCAATAATGTCATGTAAAAAAGCTAATACGATACTTTATTATAAAAAATTGTCATAAAAAACTTGTCAATTGTGTCCTATAAAACTATTATGACGTTTTTACATGAACGAACAATTGTTTGGTCCTTAAACTTAAGTCATAAAAAGTAGTCTATTAAGACACTTGTACATTCTTAGCATTATATAAACTTGACTTTATTATAGTGGATGTACTAATTCCGTCCGGTTTTGGCTAAAACCACGAACCAGAAGGCCTCTAATTATTTCACTTCTATTCAATCAAACCAACACGTCTAAACTAGCTGAATCAAAACTACAATTGAAATAACGCTTTAATTGTTTTTAATAATCAATTTAGAAGGTTGTAAATATCCGAGTACAAGTGCACCTCTGAACGAAAAGCCATCCGCAATTCAATTCGGACGTTATATCGATTCATGATACGCAATATAACACAAAACGAAATGGTTTTTTAATCCTAAATACGACTGCTGATAGAAATTTATAGCTTTCAAAATTGTGACAAGAGTTCTTAAACTTCATCCTGGAATCAGAGGTTACTCTTTGGAACACCAACAGGGGCATCTCTAGAAATCTTCTCTACTGCCTTCGAAACTTGTTTCACGTCTTCTTTTGACATATGTCGTGGCTTGCTCAACCATATTCCACCATCAACCACCAATGTTGTCCCGTTCACGAAATTACCTTCAAAAAATAACCAACTCGGTTTTTTTTAAATCCACACAATATGCTAAAATTATATGAAAGAATATCTGAAACCCTATTAGATTACTTTCCAAAAAAGCCTTTTTGAGAAGAGAACTGAGGTTCTTGCATATATTGAATAAAATGGTCAAGTCTAGCCGATATGGAGCTCCAACATGCCCCCTCCAAAGGATGCTAGGCAAAGATTGTCCCATAGAGTCGACTCCTAGAGTGGTAAATTTTGACTTTGATACCATGAGAGAATATCTGAAACCCATTAGATTACTCTCCAAAAAAGTCTTTTAACATATGTTGAAGAGAAATGGTCTAAGTCTAGCCGATTGTGGCTCCAACATGCCCAATATCCAACAAAGATTAGATGCCAGAGTGTCAAGTCCCTAGAGTGGTAAACTTCGGCTTTAATACCATGAGAGAGAATATGCGAAACCCCATTAAAATATTATCTAAAATAACCCTTGAGAAGAGAAGTGAGGTTCCAACATATATAATGAACATAAATGTTCCAAGTCTAGCCTATAGGAGCTCCAACATGCTCCTCCAACGGAGGCTAGATGAGCACAGATTGTAGCAGAGTGCCGAGTCCGTAAAGTGGTATATCTGCTCTGATACCATGAAATAGTACATGGAACCCTATTAGATTACTGTCTAAAAGATCCCTTATGAAGAGAACTGAGGTTCTAACATATATTTATGAGAAATGGTCAAGTCCAACCGAATGTATCTCCAACATGCTTCCTCCAATGGAGACTGGATGGACACATATTGTATTAGAATATCAAGTCCCTAGAGTGGTAAACTTGGCTCTGACACCATAAGAAAGCATATGGAACCCTGTTAGATTACTCTCTAAAAGAGCCATTGGAGAAGGGAACTGAGGTTCCACTCAGTTTCCAACATATATTCCGAAGAAATGGTCCAAACTCCATCATATCTTGAATTCCACCCAATGCCTAGTTTTTCAGGAAAGATAAGAGATCAACTGACCTGCATCAGATGCAAGATAGAGAGCAGCCATGGCAATATCCCATTTCTTCCCCATCCTGTAGAGGGCAGATGCTTCTCTAGACTTGCGTTGTACATCATCGGGTAATAGTTTAGTAACGCCTGCAGTGCCGTCAATGGGACCGGGTGCGATCCCATTGACTCTAATACCGTAATCTGTTCCCCACTCCAACGCCAAGCTCCTCGTAAGGCTATCTACAGCTGCCTGTTAAGATATAAAAATCATAAATTCCAAAAGTTATTTTCGTACATTTTTGGCAACTATAATCGCTATTTTTCATATATTTTTATGTGAAAATTGGGTGGTAAATTAAACCTTGGCAGCAGAGACATGAATTTGATACCAAGTTGCTGTATAATGAAGAGTTGCACTTATGTTTATGATTGTTCCTCCATTCTTCAGATATTTAAGTGCTTCATGACACATTGTGAAAGTCCCAACTGCATCTATGTCTATCACTGCAACCAACAAATATAAAAAGCACCCGACTTTGTGATAATTTGATGATGAAGAAGTATAACCCTACTATATATTGTTGGTAAAGAAGTACAAATTAATGATAAAAATATAAATTGATATTTAAAAGCTATAAATTTGTGATAAAAATATATAAATTTATGATAGATTGATAATGAGGAATTACACTATCTTGATAAGTTTATGATAAAGATAACAAATCAATGGTAAATCGATGATAGAAATTACAGATATTTGTTTTTGCGGATCCGACAAGGTTTGGATTTAGAATCTTTTTCGACATTAGACAACAAGAAGGGTTTTGCGAAAAGGGGTTCCGGTACCTACAAGGGTTTCAGTTGCAGAAGGGTCACAACATTCGGTATTTTCTCTTTGAGTCCTACATCACCTATACTTGTTATGACTATCGATGGATGGTACTCAAATGCCATCAGCATATATTGGTTTTGTTGTCGTTTCCTAATGTTCATCATATTCCTAAGTTTTTACCAATTCTTGTATTTTGTAGGTCAACAATGTGATTCTAGTTGCTCAGTATCTTTTTCTTCTACTTCTTGTCATGTGCAGCCTCAGAAGTTGATATATTTTGATGAGTTGAGATCAGCGGTATCGTATTTGTGCAACTTCTAGTGTCAAGTTCATGATATTTTAGTGCAAGTATTTTTGTTATGTTGTTTGTTGTACCTTTTGATTTAGTTTCTCATGTGTAGGGACCGTCTCTGTTCCTACAAAAGTAGTCTTTTTTGGGTGATCATACTCGTTTTTGTTGGTTTTTTATGATGAAAATTCATTCTGAATTATTTGGTATTTATAATAATTTCCGTTCATATGTAAGAACTCAACATGTTATCAATCGTTTTGCTAGGGTGAATGTACTTCAATTAAATTTTATGATTTGCTTGTTTTAGATGAAAATGCTTATCGAACTTGTTTATATATTCTGCGCAAAATGGTATTGCTGAGAGAAAACATAGACACGTTCTTGAAACAACTTGTTCTATTTGTTATCTTTTTTCAGTTCCTCGTTAGTTTTGAGGAGAAGTAATTCTTACTGCAATCAACATAATCAATAAGATTCCATGTTCTACCAATTCGGGTTTGTCTATTCTTTTGAAAAATAATATGGTTGTCTTTCTGATTGTTCTTCTTTTTTGAGTTTTTTTGTTCTATCATCCGCATGTAGAACCTACAAGGTTATCGATCATCACGCTCTACCCTTTGTGTATTCCTTGGTTATGTTTAAGGGAAAAAAAAATAGCATTGCTTTGATCCACCTCTGAGAAATTGTATGTACCTCATCATGTTGTTTTTCAGTCCTCGATCATACACCTTTCTTTTCTATTCCTGGTAGTGGTACTACTAACTCGACCAAAATCCGATCTTCGTATTTTGAGCATACCGACAACACTCGTTCTCAAGTTTCTCTTGTTAGAGAGTCAATACATACTCTTACTTAACAACTTGAAATTATTGTTCTACATCCAATTGAGATCATAGACCCTCCTCCTGCAGTTGTTTCCTCCTAAGGTTAGTGAACCCCACTCGCTATCCTCAATGCACTTGCAAGTCTAATTCCCTACTAGATTTTTACTATTCCACTTCTTTTAGTTCATTTTTAGCATCAATTTGTTGTCTTTTGGCAGCTTGCTATGAATGAGGAACTTCATGCTCTGCAAAGTGCAAATAATTCATACATGGGATCTAGTACCTTTATTGTATGGTAAAAACGTTATATCTTCTTGTTGGGTATAAGAAGACGACCAGGTTTCATGGGTATGCTCCACTAATGGCAAATGGATTTTCGCATATTGGACTGAAGAAATATTTGTTCCTATTGCAAAGATGACTACTATTAATGGCAAATGGATTTTCGCATATTGGACTGAAGAAATATTTGTTCCTATTGCGAAGATGACTACTATTCATACTTTTATGATTGTTACTTTAGTTTACTAGTGGAATATATCTCATATGGCTATATAAAATTCATTTGTGAATAGCGACTTCAACAAACAAGTCTTACATGGTTCCACATCCTACTGTTGCTTATAAAAGCTTGAGAAAGCTTTATATGGACTCTATTTCTATCTTGTTGATTGGGTTTTTCGCTAGTGATCATGATTCAAGTCTCTTTGTCAAGAGTGAATTTGGACGCCTTATATCTTCCTTTCCTTGTATGTTGATGATATCATTATTACAGATGATTACTCTTAGGTCCTAGAATTTGGAATCCATTTCCAACCAATCCCATGTTTGGTTTAAAGGATTGCTTAGATTTGAAATCTCACAAACATGGAATTTAGAAATCCCATGGGGGTTGTTGGTATTTCGAGGGAATTCGTAGGATTTGTGTGTAATAATGGTTTAAAATATGTTGAAAACATTTGTTTTATAATAATCAATAAATAAAAAAAGGTAACTTAATTATTTTTATAAATTATTCATAAAAAATTGAATTCAACCCATTCAAATCCATTCAAAGATTCTGAATCCAAATCCCTTCAATTCAAAATTCTTCCACAAAATCCAAATCCACAAAATCCATTACATCAAACCAAACGCCTCCTTAGGGAATTGACGTGTTCAAGTCTGTATTGGCTTTTTAGTTTGATATGAAGGATTTGGGTCATCTTTGATACATTTTGGGTATTGAAATGGCTTCCTATCCAAAAAGCTATTTCTTTCTCAATCCAAATATATTGTTGAAATCATTGAGCAATTCCACCTTACACACATTTCGAATTGTTGACGCACCCTTTGAGTTGAATGTTCATTATCTACGTCTAATGGCTCTCCTTTTGTGGTTTCTCTCACTATTACTCATCCAAATATTGCATATGTTGTTGTTGCCTCTCCTACCACCATTCATTGGAGGGTTCTTCGCATATTACGGTATGATCGAGGTAATATGTTTCAGAGCCTCCTACCACCTTCTACTTCCACTTTGGAGTTGTGTGCATATTTTGATGCAAATCATGGCCGGAACCTAAAGACCAAAAGTCTCATCAATTTTTCTATCCATTTGAGAGATTCTCTTATTTCTTGAAAAAGCAAGAAATGGTCTGTTGTTTTTCACTAGTCTATTGAAGCCAAGTATCGTACTATGTGTTGCGACAATCAAAGCGCCATCTGAATTGTTCACAACCGTGTTTTCCATAAACACACCAAGCATATCAAGAGTGATTGTCATTTTATGTGTCACCATCTAAACTTTGGGACCATTTTTGTACTTTCTTTGCCACTTGAATATTTTACCACGTGCCTATAAAGGATATTTTAGTCTTTTGTAGTTTATCCTATATTGGATATTTGTAGCCTTTCTTCTTTGCATTTATTTGCATCTCTTGTTCTTTTCTTTATCAATATATACACATCACATATGTATATATATATATACACATGCATCAACCATCCGGCACATCTAAAGTAGGTGTCAACTTAGGGTGTGTTTGGTACATGGGACAAGAAAAAAAACTCATTGTCCCACGTTTGGCACGACATGGAACAAAGACAAGAACTTGGACAAGGTGGGAGAAAAAGGACTTCTTTTTGTTCCACCTATTCAAGGTGTCAAACACTGACCCAAGCTCGAGCCTGAGCCCATTAATGAGATATGTTCTAGAAGGGGTAGTTCGGGTATTGTTTACCCTAGAGTCGATGAATAAATAAGGAGTAAGCGGGAGTGAAAGATCATCAAAAAAATTGTCTATGGCTTTGTTTAGGAGAGACTAGCCTCTCGAATGCTAGATGTTCCCAATTTACTTTTCATTAATCAGACAACCAATGATTTCTTCTCTTTGATCCCCTTGTTAACTAATTGAGAGCTTGATTCACAACCCAAGGATGAGACAAAAACTAAAAAATTACTAATCAACCCTCATTCGGTATAACCCTAAAATAATATTTGTTTTAATGGTCACTACCACCCTTCATCGCCGCTACTGCCACCAGCGACAACGGCCAGCCACCACTAACCACCATCGGCCACCTTCACTACTACAACCTCATCCACCACCTTCACTACTACAACCTCATCCACCACCTCCACTGTAACCACACAACCACCTCTACCTTCAACACGTCGCCTACAAGCTACCTCCTCCACATGGTTGGTCGCCGCCACCACCATTGTCCGTCATCCTCACATCCTCTACAATCATCGTTGTCCACTAGCCAGTACAGCCTCTACAATCATCATACCTCTACCTCCACCACCATTATTGCCTTAACAACCTCCACCAGGCCTCTTGTCCACCATCTTTACATCCTTCACAGTCAACATTGTCTACCACCACCTTTGGCTACCACTACTACCACCCACCACCACCTCTACCTCTACCTCCACCACATCAACCATAGCTACCTCCTCCACTACTGACAAAAGCCACACCACCACTTTCCACCATCTTCACATCCTTCTGTCACTGTCATCCACCGCTCACCACCGCTTCTACCCCGACCACCATCTTTGTTGTAACAACCTCCATTGCCAGTTCACAAGTATCTTCCAAACTGAATAAAACATGGTTTTTCCTTTGTACGAACTAGGTTTTTTTGAACTACAACATTATATCAAACTCTTCATTCAAATTTGGCACTATTATATATGTATGTATTTATGTAAATGAAAATTGTGTAAAAATGTTTATAAATTAAAGTTTTTTAATATTGACTTGATTTGTGCCGGTTATAACTATTATATGATATGTAAAATCATTAAACAATTTTTAGGGGCAACTTGTCTAGTCCTTTCCTATTTAGCCCTAGTCGCACCAAACACCAGACACACAACTTGTCCTTTCTAGTCTTGTCTTGTTTTGTCGTGTCTCCCCCAATACTTCCCGCGTTCTGTCTAGTCGAGTCATGTCTGCGTATCAAACGCTACCTTATGGACCATCATTTACCCCTAAAGATTAATTAATAGCAATAATTTATCATGGTTTATGACTTAAGAAGAGAAATTATTTTGTTATTAAATTTTATATGTTACAAAAAATCCATATTAATTTGTGGAAAAAAATAGTTTGTTTGACCTTAAAGTCAAACTGTACCTATTTCTTTTTGTTAACCGTGGGTGTCCGAACTAGCTTGCACGAAAATCACCAGTGGCATTGCAGGTCTAGAACCGGTGACCTCTAAGGAGAATCCCCAATTGCCCAAGACTTATTGTCAGCTGAGCTAACCCTACAAGGTTAGCTCAACCGAAGTACACCTATTTTTGAAGTATACAGAAGGGGCGAAACCTGTTCGGAAACCATTAGGCGATAAATTCTCGGCAGGGACAAGAAAGTTTCCGGCTGCAGCATTTACAAGAATGTCGAGCTTCCCAAACTTCGTGATCGTTGTCTCTATTGCTCGAGTAGCATCCTCTGTTTTTCGAACATCTCCTTCAATCCCAATAGCCTAAGATAAATGACATGTTTTGAAAGAAAAGAGAAAAATATTTTAATCACAAGAATGACGGAAATTGTATGTGGTGATTGATCCAAAGTAGGGATATTAAGCAAGAATCATAAACTTACATATACAGGTATTCATGTTCATGCAAGATTCATTAAACAAACCGATATCGCTTTCATAACTGTTAGACCATCTCTAACCAATGTGCTAAAGAGCTAAAGGGGCATGTTTGGCAACTATAAGCTAGCTTATTTGTTGAGTTTATTGAAAAAACGCTGTTTCAAATGCCCTTATAAGCTTAGCTTAAATTTTTTTGTTTCATAAGTAATAAAACATTGATAAATGACTTCAATAAAAATATATTTTGTAAACGAAAATTTAAAACAAAAAAAAATGGAGATGATTAGGGTCTTACATGAATAGCGAGGGATTGAAGAGCAGAAATGGCGGAATCAAGGACGTTCTTTCGACGACCCATGATTGCAATCGAAGCTCCATGTTTCCCCAATTCTGCAGCGATTTCATATCCGATTCCAGATCCACCACCGGTTAACAATCCAACTTTCCCCTTCAATATATCCCCTTTGAATGGTGACTCCATTGAAGAACCTTACTTTCACTTTCTTCTCTCTTGAAGTTGAATTAGGATGGAGATAATTGAATATGAATAGAGGAATCGCCATAAGAACATTCGGTTGGGGTTGGCCGGCTTCAGCTTTCCGTTTCTTCTTGATTCCCATTTTTGTTTGATTTCGATGGAATTCCAAATTCAGAAGATCCGGTTTTAATCCTTCCCTTTTCTATCACCGTCTTTTATGGGAAAAAAAAACCAAAATCTGCGAATATTGACATTCGTTACAAACAACTTATTTACGAGTACGGTAACTTTGATATATCTCGATATTAATGTTTTGTTTTATTTTGTCTATCGACGTTTTAATATGGTTTTTATTTGGTTTGAGAAAGGGATAATATTTTTGTTTTTAAATAAAATATAAATTTGAAAATATCATAAAATTTCGAAAATAAATATATTAATAYTWGTATCAAATTAACTATTTAAAAGTTTTGTTTTTTTTAATTTTTTTTAATTTAATTTA